GTTGAAAAGTGCTATATAAATAAACTTGCCTTGCCTTCAGGGATTTGTTATCCCGGGGGACTCCCGAGGCAGTAGGAAGGTACCGACAGGCCCGAAGGGCAGCAGCCTCATCCGTGGCGAGGCAAAGCAGCGGGTGTGGGAGAAGTTCGGAGAAGACATGGAGAAGGACCTTCGGGCGGCACCAAAGTTGTTCTGGAAAACCTGTCCGACACCTCAGGAGGGGGAAGCAGGTGAACCATCCCAGCTGTGTACAGTAAGGATGGGACGTTGTTGACCTCAACTGATGGAGTGTTAGGGCGTTGGAAGGAACACTTTGAGGAACTCCTGAAACCCGACAACTCCGCCCCTCTATGTTAGAGGCAGAGCTGGAGTATGACGGGGGATCAAACACCAATCTCCCGGGGGGAGGTCACTGAGGTCGTCAAACAACTCCACAGTGGCAAAGCCCCGGGGGTGGATGAGATCCGCCCAGAAATGCTGAAGGCTCTGGGTGTTGAGGGACTGTCACTGGTTGACACATCTCATCAACATTGCGTGGAAGTCGGAAACAGTACCGAAGGAGTGGCAGACGGGGTGGTGGTTCCCCTTTTTAAAAAGGGGGATCAGAGGGTGTGTGCCAATTACAGAGGCATCACACTACTCAGCCTCCCCGGGAAAGTTTACTCTAAGGTACTCGAAAGGAGGGTCAGGCCGATTGTCGAACCTCAGATTGAGGAGGAACAATGCGGATTCCGTCCTGGTCGTGGAACGACGGATCAGCTTTTTACTCTCGCAAGGATCCGGAGGGGGCCTGGGAGTACGCTTATCCGGTCTACATGTGTTTTGTAGACTTGGAGAAGGCGTATGACCGAGTTCCCAGGGAGTTACTGTGGAAGGTGCTGTGGGAGTATGGGGTGAGGGGGTCTCTACTCAGGGCCATCCAATCTCTGTACTCCCAAAGCGAGAGCTGTGTCCGGGTCCTCGGCAGTAAGTCGGACCCATTTCCGGTGAGGGTTGGCCTCCGCCAGGGCTGCGCTTTGTCACCAATCCTGTTTGTAATATACCTGGATCGGATTTTGAGGCGTAGTCATGGGGGAGGGGGTCTGCAGTTCGGTGGACTAAGGATTGCACCACTGCTTTTTGCAGATGATGTGGTTCTGATGGCTTTATCGGTCTGCGACCTTCAGCACTCACTGGATCGGTTCGCAACCGAGTGTGAAGCGGCTGGGATGAGGATCAGCACCTCCAAATCTGAGGCCATGGTTCTCAGCAGGGAAAACCGATGGTCTGTCCACTCCAAGTAGGGAATGAGTCCTTACCCCAAGTGAAGGAGTTCAAGTATCTCGGGGTCTTGTTCTCGAGTGAGGGAACAATGGAGCGTGAGATGGGCCGGAGCGGTACTTGCAGTCGCTTTACCGCACCGTTTGTGACAAAAAGGGAGCTGAGCCAGAAGGCAAAGCTCTCTGTCTACCGGGCCATTTTCGTTCCTACCCTCACCTATGGTCATGAAGGATGGGTCATGACCGAAAGAACGAGATCGCGGATACAAGCGGCCGAGATGGGTTTTCTCCGCAGGGTGGCTGGTGTCTCCCTTAGGGATGAGGGTGAGAAGTTCGGTCATCCGGGAGGCACTCGGAAGTTGAGCCGCTCCTCCTTCGCGTCGAAAGGAGCCAGTTGAGGTGGTTCGGGCACCTAGTTAGGATGCCACCTGGGCGCCTCCCTAGGGAGGTGTTCCAGGCACGTCCAGCTGGGAAGAGACCAAGGGGTAGACCTAGGACCAGGTGGAGGGATTATATCTCTTCGCTGGCCTGGGAGCGCCTTGGGATCCCCCAGTCAGAGCTGGTTGATGTCGCCAGGGAAAAGAAAGTTTGGGGCTCTCTGCTGGAACTGCTACCCCCGCTGCGCACCCGACACGGATAAGCAGGAGAAGATGGATGGATGGCTGGATGGATGGATAGATCTGAGATATCATGTAGTAATAATGAGAGGGAATGATTTAGAGGTTGTGAGAGGAGAGTGAGGATGGTAGTTGTTTATTTGTTATACTCTTTGTGTTTATTTAATTGTGTCATTTTTTATTTGGTGGATAGTTAGGCCTCATCAATCGGTAATAGTTAAAGGTCACTTATTATGCAAAATCCACTTTTTCATGTCTTTCATAAGTTCTTTTTTTACCAAATATCTCTCAGAGGGGCTTGGGGAGTGGCTCCTTATTTTCATCTAAAGTAACAGACAGAGAATCAGCACTTTGTTGAAAACAGGGCTGAAAACAGAGGGGATTATGGGATGCTGCAATCCATGATCTGTTATGGTACTTTGAGCCAAACACTTCAGACACATGTTTTGTATATATCTGAGACCTATAATATATTGATGAAAAACAGTATAATAGGTTACATTTATGTCTAATAATTTCTTATTGTAAGGGAAACTTCTGTGTAGCAATGCAGTGGGAGTCACCGACTCAGAAAAGAGACACGGGAAGAGCAGGAGCTTTGATGTCAAACACTGATGGTTTATTTGGAGCTTCGGCCGGAGAATCACATCACAAGTCCCAAGAGCCACGGTCTGACTGCACGGGAGAAAATGCCACGTCAATTCTGAAGAACTCTACCCCCAGACCCATGTATTTAGCTAGTTCAGAGAGAATCATCAACATGCTGCATAACAAGATAGAACCATAACACCTCTATCAGCTGACGCCAACAGGCAGGAACAGGGAGACAGAACACTGCGAGCACAGCAGCCAAGGTTGCAGGTGCGTGTGCTCAGTCAGGACAGTTTGAAGAACTGATAAACTGGGTCAAAGTTATGGACCTTGGAAAATATTTCCCCAACAGTTATCACAATGCTTTTTGTTTTCAATGAATCATTTAATTGACCCACCGCTAATGAGACAACCCAGGTGAATAGGGTAATATTTTTAACTTAAAGGTATCAGCTAGAAATTTCTCCAGTTAATTACTTACAATAAGGCAATTGTTTTTTGTATTACAAGTTCTCTGAAATAGCATGTTTAAATAAGCAAATGATCCATTATCTCATTAAATATGCACATATTTTAACACATTTCAGGAATCGAAATCTGAACTTTGGATAAAGCCAAGTTCAAAATTCTTGTTTCATTTTGTAGTCATATTAGTATCTAAGGCTTTTACAGAAGGGATATTGGATATCTCTTTTTATCACTCCATAAATTGGAAAATACTGTCAACAGCCCTAAAATATCAATTTTTGCCATGTTTTTAGGTATACAATGTTGTATAATTCAGGCTATGAATGATATATGAAACAAACCCTTCTGTAAAAGCTTTCATAATATTGATAGGAATATAACTGGAAGGTTTGGTGAATGTACGTGCTACTGAAGTTGAAATTTTCGAACTCAGAGTAGGAGAAAAAAACTCATTTTGAGAAAACGACCTTTAAAGATTGCAGTGAGGCGCTAGCTAAACCCTCCTGTTCTTTGGATGATAGCTATCATCCAGAGAACAGGAGGGTTTAGCTAGCGCCGTGAAGGTATTTCATGGTATTCATGTTCGGGGTCATTTGTTTTTTTGTATAACCTTGCTTCGTGCAAGTGACAATTGTTGTCGTCTTCTCTGTGAACGTTTTTTTCCGCCGTTCTTTTACCATTTTGAGATGTCAATTTCTAGCGGGAAAGCTAACTAGGAAGTGTTTTAGGACACCACGTGACGCATCTGAACGAATCACGTTATCAGAAATTGACACCAGCCAATGAGGATTTCGTTTCTTGGTTGAAGACCCCTTTGTGCTTTCACGATTGGTTGCTGATACGAAGGAAATGACCATATTTGGATCCGATGAGATTGTGCAGGAGAGACACAGCTTTCCAACGATATCTCTGTTGACATGGTGCACACGCGGTCGCGGTACTTTCTGATACGTTAGAATGATAACTTTTGGTTGAATTTAGGAGAAATCTACAGACGCAAATAGACAAACTATAGTAAAATAAACACTTAAATGTGTATTTTGTACGGTTTCCTTCCAAAAGCCTGAAGAAAACATGTTATAGAATCAAAATAGCACAAATCTCAAAATTGACCAGTAGGATACTTGAAAAACGATGTTTTTGCCTGCCGTGTCTCGCCTTAAGTTAGGTGTTGTGGATTAGTTATTTCTAGCTATTAAGTGAGAAGCAAAGTGTTTTAATTTATTTAACCTACCACTTCCTCTTGGTAGAGCCACCCCTGACAGCGCCTCCAGCACGGAGCTCTTCCCCGAGCTTTGGTCTCCAATGACGGCGATAGCAGGCAGAGCCAAGTCCTTCTCTACACCCAGAGAGCGAAGAGAGTCGATGAGGTCGATGCAGGGACGCACCTTCTCCCTCATACTGTTGGTTCAGAGTGTTCATAATGATGACTTATTCTATCCTGTCAATAAAGTGCTTTTTGTTGTATTTATTTGAAGATGTGTTCTTGGTTGAATCTGCAGTAGCAGCCGGTCGGATGCTGAGATTGAGTGTGTCGGATGCGAGCTGCCAGTAGCCTGTGCAATGAAAGGATAGGTTTCGTTTCTTTACCCGAGTTTCATTTTCTTCGCAAAGTCTTTTCCAGTCTTGTACCAGCAGCATGGGTGGACCGGCTCGGTTCGCTGCCTGCACCGCCCTTTATTTTTTATTTTTTTAAACGTTATCATTTAAGTTGGGCTGATAAGCGACTGAGGTCCACAGTTTCCCCGCAGCGAGGCTCCCCCGCCCTCCTGTTGACAGTTCACGAGCCTCTAGAAATCCCCCCCACCCCCTTTGTTGTTTAAATTGGAGTTTATTGGTAGAATTCCGTACTTATAGCCAACTGTTATTGCCATTCAGTTTCCTGAAGTATATTATGTTTGTGACCGGAAGAACCTAAATACGATTCTCAGTAACTTGATTAAGCCAACATTAACCTTTTAAAATGATCTAACATGCCAGTTATTTTCATATTTTTGGACCTTATGTAGACTATCTGTGGCATGACATTCAGGCAATAAGAAAGTTGAATGAAAATAAGACAATATAAAATAGACCTTTATTGGTGCCCGTAGGGAAATTAAGGTGTTACAGCTGCCGCAGATTAAGAGAGAAACAAAGGACAGCAGATAAGAGTTCACACAAGTTCAATAAGAACATAAGAGTAAACATGTAAGTATCAATATGAAGAAGAATAACAAGTCATATGTATGAACAAAATTAATTAAAAGGCAAATAATGAATACGAATATTACACTGGATCACTTATCAATAGCCACTCTTTATTTTATTTGCTTTTCTAGCTTAAGTGACTAATAATATCACAAATCTGCAAAAGAAATGAAATGTGATGAATGTGAAAGCCCAACAAACTTCTTCCATCAGGAATCTGATTTTAAGGTTTGCGCTTTACTTGGGCTGTGTTGAAGTTGAATATGTTCATGCTGAAGTCATTCAACAGAACACGGGCTCCTGACATGCGCTTGAGGCTTTTCTGAAGTTGTCTTCTCTTTGTTTCCATTGAAAAGTCCTCTTGAAGCAAGCACTCAGTTTTCTCCTTGTCCTGAAGCATCTGCAGCATCTCCCTGTGCAGCTGGAGGGCAGACTCCTGCATCACATGGTAGCGGATCACCAGCGGGATCTGGTCAGCCAAACGCATGGATCCGATGAGATTGTGCAGGAGAGACACAGCTTTCCAACGATATCTCTGTTGACATGGTGCACACAGCGGTCGCGGTGCTTTATGTTACGTTAGAATGATAACTTTTGGTGAATTTAGGAGAAATCTACAGACGCAAATAGACAAACTATAGTAAAATAAACACTTAAATGTGTATTTTGTACGTTTTCCTTCCAAAAGCCTGAAAGAAAACATGTTATAGAATCGAAATAGCACAAAATCTCAAAATTGACCAGTAGGCTACTTGAAAAACGATGTTTTTGCCTGCCGTGTCTCGCCTTAAGTTAGGTGTTGTGGAATTAGTTATGTCTAGCTATTAAGTGAGAAGCAAAGTGTTTTTAATTTATTTAACCTACCACTTCCTCTTGGTAGAGCCACCCCTGACAGCGCCTCCAGCACGGAGCTCTTCCCCGAGCTTTGGTCTCCAATGACGGCGATAGCAGGCAGAGCCAAGTCCTTCTCTACACCCAGAGAGCGAAGAGAGTCGATGAGGTCGATGCAGGGACGCACCTTCTCCTCATACTGTTGGTTAAGAGAGTTCATGATGGTGACTTCTTGTAGCCTAAGGTAATAGAAAAAAGGAAACGGAATGATAAGTCCTAAGTCTGTCGCAGATAAGTGTAGTAGCCTACAAAGTACACAGGCTGTTTCTACGAGCTTTGTGTGCCGGACTCAACTAACACTGCAGGTGCAACCAGAAAATCAAGTTGGGTTTATGGGAAATCAAGACTACACTTTTTCCTGTCTGCCCCTTTCCTTGCAATGTTTACTTGTAATTTCAATTACAAACCGGTTCTTCATGTGACATGCTTTGGTTATGATGCTGTAAGCCTACGCCCAAGGTCACTACTTTTGTGTTAAATTACATTTACAAATGTGTTTTTATTTAAAAAATAACCACATTTTTAAAAAAAACGTTTTAAATATATATACTCTCAATTAATCAAGTAAAAAGCCCATTACAACTTCCATGTTAAAAAGGTGACTACTAGAAAATGTTATATTCAATTCACTTTTACCTGTGCTGGTATTGTCCATGCAATGTTCAACACTAGCTCAGTTGTGCCTGGTATGTATAAATCACAATTTGGGGTAACAATAAGGAGGTGGGAAATGTAAGACAATATTTAGTTTATTTGTTTTTTGTTTTATTGTTTTCAGGATGTGCTGTTTGTCTCCCAGTCACAAATATAAGAGTTCATAAAATAGTAGTAGATATACAATGTTGACAGTTTCCATTTCACAGCAAGTAGAGTAAAATGGGCTAGAAAGGTTAAGAAAACGAAACTGCATTTTGAGATGATTTCCTGACGTTTCGCTGCCAAAAAAAAAGAGAAATACAGAACGTGCAAATGTATTGTAAAAGAGTCGAGGTCAGGTTATTTCAGTGGGACATGTACATTAAACACATAAAAGGTCCTTTGCTGTTTTGAAAGAAGTATCAAGATCCTTTACTTAAGAAAAAGTACAAATACTATGGTCTTAAATAATCCACTACAAGTAAAAGTCGTGATTTCAACATTCTTCTTATGTAAAAGTACAAAAGGATTAGCATCAGAATGTAGCCTACTAAGTATAAAAAGTGCTCATTCTGCACAATGTCCCATTACAGAATAATATAGTACATAAGTATTATCATCTAAATGTACTTCAAGTATCAAAAGGGAAAGTACTCATTATGCACATTGGATCTTTTCACATTATTTTATTATTATGGTTTATATTATTATCCTGTTTTTATACATGTAAGAGCATTTAAAGTATTGTAGTTGGTCAATATGGACTACATTTGGATAGTTTAAATACTTTGTAGATTAGAAGTACAGTACTGTATTATACCATGTTAGCATATAATACGTTTGATATGCGCGCCACTAAAAAAAAAACTAAAATATTGGAAATGTTCAACATTGTCTACTGGCAATAAAGTGAGAGGTACAAGGTGACCAGAGCAGTATGGGAGCTGGCTTTTTGCGTGAGACTGATATCGGGGTTGCCTTCCGATAATCCAAAAATCAGCTCCTAAATTCTAACCCTATCTCCTATTCCTTGACCTCTGAGTGAAACGTCACAGGGTTAAGGGATAGTGGATAGGAGAATTCAAAAGGACTTAGGAGAAGAGACTGCGGTACTTTAGGTTGCGTTCGGATAGTTTACAAATCAGCTCCTAAGTTCTAACCCTATCTCCTATTCCTTGACCTCTGAGTGAAACGTCACGGGGTTAATGGATAGGAGAATTCAAAAGGATTTATAGGAGAAGAGACTGCGGTGCTTTAGCGAATCCGAGGCTGCAGTCGAATAGTCCATTTAGCTTAGGAACCTTCCTAACGGAGTGAAATGACCCGGAAGTCCCTCAGTGGCAGCCATGATAAGTGCCGTTCGAATTCTCTAGAATGATATGAAAGGAGGTTTCAAACTTCCTTTATAACCTCCTTTAGCTTAGGAACCACTGGACCTCCCTAACCGAAAGGAGAGGAGAAAATGCTGCCCCACAATGCCTTGCAGCCGCAGCATTTGACGTCACTCAACAGTCGGCCGTTCACGGAAACAATCGATTATGACGGAGAAATTATATCATGAAAGTTACGGTGCTTATTAAGCTTTTTAAAACGTAGGCCTATGTGGTAAGTTGCCAAAGTGATTTGTTTTGAACGTTCATCAGTATTATAATCAAAAAGAGAAATATGAACGTTAGTTTTTACTGAAATGATCAAATAAAGTCAACATTTCACTGAGCTGTGTGGGGTCTGTTCAACTTTTAAAAGATGTTTGAATGGTGATGTAGGCTACACAGTGATAGGTGTTAAGGACTAACGTTTATAATAAATACATTTGTATTGATTTTAAGATATTTTCATAGTTCATACAATCATACTGGGATAATTTTTTGTATTAATGTGGACCGGAGGGAGAGGGTGACGAGCATAAGTTTCACTTTCCTTTTTTATTTCAATTCCAACTTTGGTCATGAAGAATATGTTTCTCTGTTGTCCACGTTCATAAAGCATAACACAACAGCATCAGAGCACGGTGCAGAGTCTCTAGATGACTTTACAGTACCTCGTTCTTATTAAACATCCATGTTGTAGTCCGCTGTATAGAAAACTGTAGTTTCCATAGTTTCCCCACAGCAGCAGACGCACATTCATGACGTCCGCTGGTGCATCATAAACACGTCGGATAGTGAAAGTGCAGTCGGATTCTCTAAAGTACCACAGTCTCTTCTCCTAAATCCTTTTGAATTCTCATATCCACTATCCCTTAACCCCGTGACGTTTCACTCAGAGGTCAAGGAATAGGAGATAGGGTTAGAACTTAGGAGCTGATTTGTAAACTATCCGAACGCAACCCGACTGCACTTTCACTATCCGACGTGTTTATGATGCGCCAGCGGACGTCATTTTGTGCGTCTACTGCTGTGGGGAAACTACAGTTTTCTACAGCGGACTACAACATGGATGTTTAATAAGAACGAGGGACTCATCTAGAGACTCTGCACCTGCTCTGATGCTGTTGCTTTATGCTTTATGAACGGGGACAACAGAGAAACATATTCTTCATGACCAAAGTTGGAATTGAAATAAAAAAGGAAAGTGAAATGTATGCTCATCACCCTCTCCCTCCGGTCCACATTAATATAAATGATCCCAATACGTATGATTGTATGAACTATGAAAATATCTTAAAATCAATACAAATGTATTTATTATAAACGTTAGTCCTTAACATCTATCACTGTGTATATCACCATTCAAACATATTTTAAAAGTTGAACAAACCCTACACAGCTCAGTAAAGACTGTGAAATGTTGACTTTATTTGATCATTTCAGTAAAAACTAACGTTCATATTTCTCTTTTTGATTATAATACTGATGAATGTTCAGAAAAAAGCACTTTGGCAACTTACCACATACGTTTTAAAATGCTTAATAAGCACCGTAACTTTCATGATATAATTTCTCGGTCATAATCGGTTGTTTCCGTGAACGGCCGACTGTTGAGTGACGGCAAATGCTGCGGCTGCAATGCATTGTGGGGCAGCATTTTCTCCTCTCCTTTCGGTTAGGGAGGTCCAGTGGTTCCTAAGCTAAAGGAGGTTATAAAGGAAGTTTGAAACCTCCTTTCCTTTCATTTGGAGAATTGGAACAGCACTTATCATGGCTGCCAGTGACGTACTTCCGGGTCATTTCATTCCGTTAGGAAGGTTCCTAAGCTAAATGGACTATTGGAATGCAACCCTAGTGTTTATATATATATATCACAGGGCTGCCAAGTTTCAGTAAAAAGTAGGAGTGAGACTTTCGGGGGAAGATGCGTTTTGATTTTTTTTGTTGCCTTTTTTAACGTCGATTTAGAGGAATATCTCAATTTAAATGAACATTAAGACTGTTGTGATGTCTTCACCCCCATGCCAGCTGCTCTCCCTGCACTGTCTGCCTCCTCATGCTTATATAGTGTTAATAATTGACCAGCACAAGTAGAAATGAAAACAATTGTAACAAATAAAAGTTTGACAAATAAAATACATTTATTTATAAAATGTCAATATAAAGAAAACATAGCAGCCTTTTAAGAAACAATAGCAGCCTTTTAAGAACCAATAGCAGCCTCTTTTTTTTTAAGAGTAACAAAATTAGAACCAGAATAATATATATATATATATATATATATATAATATATATATTATAAATAAATAAAGTGCATGTCTTTGTTTGTGTGTTTTGGTTTACATGACATGTCTCATGTTGTAGGTGTTTGTGGCAGATGTTGATGCCTTGATGACAGAGGGAGGGGGCTCCCATTTGAAACACTGTGGCTCAAGGTTTGCCATCTTCACAGTCATGATGGATGATAGAGTTCCATCAAGAGCCAAACAGTTTTTCGGGTTTTGTTCAGTCCCACCACAGAGAACACTCGTTCAGCATCAGCATTTGAATGTGGAAGTACCAACACCAACTTGGCAATACGGGAGAGCCTCCCAAATCTGCTCATACCGGTCACCTTTGAAAAATGTAGGAAGCCTAATTACTTTCAAGTATTTTTGTATAGAATTAAGTTGATTACGTCAATGGGTATTTCAAAGGGTGCAGAATAATTCTTACCTTATTCTTCATTGATGCCAAGTTCCCCCAAAAGCTCTCAATGTCGAACGTGGCTGGGTCTTCGGGCATGGCAATGTCCATGGACTGGTAGTCCAGAAACTCCTCACTCAGTTTGTCACGCTCGTCAGGTCCGTTGTATGGGAGAAGTTCAGGAAACCTAAAAAGAACACAATGTGCACTGATCTGGTCAAGTAATGTAGCTGAAACGGGTTGTTTTTCAGATGTGGTCATTAAACTTTACAATCTATTAAGAAAATGTTAAGAAAATGTGACAAGAGCCAAGAGTCTTTAACCTGCTCTACTTATTAAGTATATTGAGATAACTTGTGTTGTGATTTGGCACTATAGATAAATGTACTTGACTTGATACCCCAACTAACCTGTCGACAAAGTACAAGGCGTCTTCCACTCCACACTCTACCCTCTACCCTCTGCTGGACATCCAGAAACATGGCATGTTTTATCAGGGGCTCTCTCATGTGGAGTTTCTTCATGGCATACTCCACAGCCCTCACCAGAAACGCCACTGCTGCCTGCTGGAACCTCTGCACTTGCTGCGGTGTAATGTCTCCTGCATCAAGGAGCCTGTTGA